GCGGAATCACCCCAGGTGCCAGGCGAGGTTTCGTGTCACTCGCCGTGACCGCCAGTCCGAGCGCCGAGCGCTCAGGGGACATGCCGCGTCTTCCGGAGTGAGGGGTGCGTTTTTCAGGGAGACCGAGCGCCCTCCTTCCCCTTGCTGTCCCCGTCTGTCTGTCGCTCAGGCGCTTGCCTTGTGTGTGGCTTGGAGTGAGCGCAGCCCGGGCGGTGGTCTGGGGCCGCGACCTCAGGGGCAGTGGCCGCGGGAGAGGAGCGCACAGGGCCCACGGCCCTGCCGTGGCGAGGCTTCAGGCAGCACGGTCGCAGCCGGGAGCCCGTTCGTTGGGGCCGCGTCCTCCAGCCTGTGAGGCTGCTCAGGAGCGGGTTGGAGGCCGGGCGTTTATTCCCCCGACAGCCTTTCTTGCACAGGGAGAAGAGACAGAGAGGGTTCTGGGGAAACTATCTTGTGAGTTAGAGGGACGTCATCTTGGTAGGTTTCTGCCCTCTGCCCGCCGAGCCGCCAGTTCCAGCGGTGGGTGTCTCCCCTCGTGGTCGCCTGGGTCTCTGGGCCAGAGACACCCCCCTCCGCCCTGAAGCCCAGCCTGTCCCTGGGTCGGGGGAGTCCTCGGGCTGACCCCGGGGCTTCTCCTCCCCCCCCTCTCCCTTTGCCTCCTCCTTTTTAAAAAGCCCCTTTAACTTCCTTAACTTTAGGTGGGACTTTTTTTTCCTTTCTAATCAATGTTTCCCTTTGGGGTCGTTGTAGGTTTGTAGGAAGGTTGCAGCATGAGCACAGGGGGTTCCCGCGCCCCTCGGTCCCCTCCCTCGGGGAGCAGCTCACTGGAGCGTGGACATTTGTCACCACGCTCCATGCATGGAGTATGACGCATGACGGTAGCTGGACCCCAGACTTCGTCTGGGTCTCAGCTGCGTGTCCGTGAACGTGGTCTTGCTGCTCTAGGCTCCACACCAGGGGCCAGTGTTACCTTTGTAAAAAAGTCAATACTTAGGGAGTTATTTTAACAGCCATTACAAACACACATTTTGACCACATCAACCGTGATGACAGCCGGGGCGTATTAAGTGGTTAAGAGCAAGTCACTTTGAAGACGTACGTTGTAAACATCAGTGACGGTGACACGCAGCCCAGTGACGAGGAACCAGGCACCCTGCGTCCGGCCCCTGGTCTCCCCAGCCCCACTGAAAGGAAGGGCGTGGTCCATCGTCCCTTGGGAGCCGGTGACAAAGTGCGTCCCCGTCCAGGCCGGGGCCCCTTCCGCCACGCCTCTCAGCGCCTCTCTCCTCTGCGGAAGGGAGGTGGGAAGGAGGCGGAGGAAGCCCTCGGTGGAAATAACGTTTCCATTTCAATTATTCTACTGATCCTTGACCCCCTCATTCCCGTGGATAATCAGAAACTGGCGGGAGGCATCGTGTTTGAAGTAAAAACACCGTGGAAGTGGCCTTGGGGGCCGCTGGGCAGGTGGCTGCCCGGGGTTCGCGTGCAAACCACACTTCAGGGCGAGGCGGGGTCTGCACGGAATGACAGCAGCAGCCACGGGCAGTCGTGTCACACAGCCGTGCAGGGCTCCTTCCCCCGGGGGCCGGGGTGGCACCCCTCTTTGGGACAACGTGAGCGTCTCGGGGAGGGGTAGGCAGGCCATCTCTCGGGATCCGGCGTGGTCTGGGGTCTTCACCTGCATGGCCCCCAGTGTGGATGAGAGTGCTGAAGTTAGTTAGCACACGTGCACAAATGTCCTCCCCCGCCCCCTTCTCACCATCGGACCACCACCTCTGGGACCAGGACGCTGTGAGCTAGGCTCAGTTCAGTGCTTTGGAGAGGGCCAGCGGGGGTGCGGGTGCAGGTGTGGGTGGGGGAAGGGCAGGCAGCAGATGTGGGCACCATCCGAGAGACCTGTCTTGCAGTCACTGCCGATCTGACTCATCCGAGGCACGGAGAAGTGCTTCTCCGTGCCCTGCTCGCTGGTGAGGCCCGGCCAGGCTGCGGGCCCCTGGTTTCCTGCTCAGACCCACTCAGGCGCCCAGCCCCGGGGGAGCGGGGCGGCAGACTGCAGAGCAGCCCTGGGGGCGGGGCGGGGCGGTGGGGCGGCGGGGTGGGGGACAGCCACAGCCAGCCCCCTCCCTGTGGCCTTCTGCCCTGCACTGAGCATTTGGGAACTGGAGGAGGCCCGGGGACCTCACGGGGCTCCCTGGGCCGTGGCCATGTGTGCTACTGGGGCGGGGCGGGGGAGGGCGTGTGGCGTCGCCTCCAGGACCCCTTCTTCCTTTCTCGGGCTCCCACTCGGACCCCGAGGGCATCTGATGCCTTCGCCTGGTGTTGCGGCGTTTTCTCTGACATAGCTCTGTTGTACAGAACAGCCACTGCAGCTGCAATTTTGCCAAATGAGCCTGGCTTTTGGCAAGGGAGCAATCCTATCTTGTTTTTTTTTTTTTTTGTTTCCTTGGGAATAAAGGACCCGAGGAAGCCAGTTCACCATTCTTTGGAAATTTCTTTTTCTTTGGTGACTATTGCCACTTGCTTAGCTCACTGGCTGCCTGCTGCCTGCCCTGGAGAATTGAATTGCATCATGGCACTGAGGAAAATGGGAAGGGGGGCGATGTATTTGTTATATTGAGATATAACTCACATACTATAATGTTTATCCTTTTAGAGTGTGCAATTTAGTGGCTTTTAGTATATTCACTGAGTTGTGCAGCTGTCACCATTATGTAATTCTAGAACATTCTCTGCTCCTCCCAGATGAGCTCCACACCCATCAGCACTCACCCCCCCCACCCCCCGCAGGCCCCGGCAAGCACTCGCCCGCTTCCTGTCCGCAGGTTTGCTGCTCTGGGCGCTGCTTTCACTGCGCACAGTGTGTTCAAGGTTACCTGATTTTTGTCCATTTTTTTAACCGTTATCCGAGGACACTTTTTCATTGCTTCCGACAGAGATGGATGGAGAGGAGGGTGGGGAGAGAGAGAGAAACACCAGTGGGTTGCCCCCCATACGCCCACTGATGGCGGTGGGTGGGGAACTGAACCCACGTCCTAGGCGCTCGCCCTGACGAGGACCGAACCTGCCGGCGGGACGGCGGTCCAGCCAGCGGAGCCACCGGCCAGGGCAGCTCCCCCTTCCTCTGAGTCGCCTAATGCTGCTCCGTCGCAGGAACACGCCACATTTTATTTACCCATTCCGCTGTTGAGATATTCACTTTCCATCAGCTCCAAAGGTATTTTTTAAAAAGGAGTTCTTGTCCAGGAAACTTTTTCATGTATTTATCTCCCCGAGGGGCGCTCAGACTGTGACTCGGGAGGAAAAAGGCGAATGAGGCCTGTTCGGGTTCGAGGGACAGGCTCGTCCCCGAGGACGCCCCTGGTGAAGCCCAGGGTGCTGCCGCCCAGGCCCCCCTGCAGGGAGCCTCGCCCACCCGGCCTGCTTTTCCCACAGCTCTCTGCTCTGCGGCAGCCGGGGGGCCCCCCGCCGACGCAGGGGGAGGGCCCGTCTCTTCAGCATGAGAGTGGGGCGTCCTGCTGGCCGCACCAGCCTGCATCTCCGGTGCTTTCCCGCCCTGCCCACGTCTGTGGCTGCCCGTGCCTCCTCCGTGTGGGGCAGCGGGCCACTCACGAGTCTCCTCCCACTGTTGCGTGTGTTCAGGCCTCCCTAGCTTACCTCTCGCTGTTGCTTCTGCCTGTCGAACTCTTACGCATCCCACAATACCCAGCTCCTCTGTCTCTTCCTCCAGGAAGTCTGGCCAAGCCCTCTTTCCCCTGGGCTGCCCCAGGGCTGCGTTTATATGCCACACGGACTGGGGGGTGGGGGGATGCGGCTCTTAGGATACTTAATAGCAGCAGAGGTGCTAGTCCCAATAAATCAGACCGGGCTCAGGTGTCAGTGCCGGGTGACAGGTATTTACTCCTTGCTTGCTGGGTCCTGGGGGTCCCAGGGAGGGGAAGGGGCCACTGGGGTTGATGTCCGCTGACCGTGCACTGGTCCCTCTCCCATTCTCAGCTGCACGGGTCCCTGCAGCCTCTTGCACGCTGGTGGCTCACATCGCCAGGGAGGCGCCTGCGCACCAATATGGCGGTCCCAGGAGTGGAAGCCGTGGGAATCTGCGTAATCTGGTTCAAAGCCCAGCCCACCGGGACAGATGAAATCCCCCGCCTGCCCGCCCGCCCCAGACCAGACCCCTTCTAGCGAACAGGAGGCTTCGGCCCCTGTGCAGCTGGGTGTTGTTCCCGAAGGCGGCATGGGCTGGAGAAGCCTGTCCCCCCCCGCAGTGTGAATCAGTCCGAAGGAGTTTACACGCGTCACTCTGCGTGGCCGGGGTCGCCGCCGGTGGCCCCGGCTCACCCCAAACGGGTTTCTCGTCATTAGCGCCTTTTCCGGTTCGGAGATCCGCTTTGCTTCTCAGCCCGTGCCGCGCCATTCAGTGTAATTGGATTTCTCACCCTCCATCACCGCCGGGCGTGCTCCTTGCGAAGCCACAGAGCCCAGGGCAGGGCCTCCGGCGGGCCGAGAGCGGGGCTCATCGTGGGCGCAGAATCGAAGGGGCCCTCGAAACCCCTCCATCGAGGTCCCAGTTCAGTGCAACACGTTCAGAATCAAAGTCAATGCCAAAAATTCCACACTGAACCCAGTGCGAAAATGCTGAGTGAGGGCGGCCCTGCAGGGGCCGTGGGTGGCCTCCGGCTGTTGTCGCCTGCAGTGGGGTTGGGGGCCCTTCTGGGCCCTCGGGAGCCCCCGGGCTCCCACGGGAGGCTGTGACGATGCCCCTTCCTCCCCCCAGGGCCAGGAAAAAGACCCCGCTGGCTCCCGGCTCTCCACCGGCACAGAGTCCCCCGGTCCGCAAGGTGGTGGGTGCCGTGTCTGAGCTCTAACCCGCGGTCTCTCTCGAGGGGTGTTGGACCAGCAGTCCCCGGAGCCGAGAGCCGCGTCTGTAATGTTTCCCTCCGCGGTGTCTCCCTCTTCCTGTTTTCGAGCCCTTGCTGCTGTGACCTGAAGAAGCGTATAGACATTGATTTACTTCCTATTTCTGAGCCAGGGCTGGCTGGTTTCATCTCTGTGGGAGCCCCTCCACGCCGCTCCGCCCGGCGCTTTTGCTCCGTCGGACGCAGGGTGGACGCAGAGGCCGAGCCTTGGGAGGTGGTCCTCTTTTCTTTTTTCTTTTCTTTTCTTTTCTTTGGCGGCAGTCCCTCTCTGCCCTGCAAAGTGGGACCCGAGGAGGATGCCCGAGACGCCGCCCCAGCAGACAGGTGCCAACTCCCTGCTCCGGGAGGAGCGCCCCTGGGCCCCCTGTCTCTGGGGGGCCAGCCCACCTGTCTGTCCCGAGGCTGCGGATGCTTTCTCGGTTTGCGTGTGAAGCTGAGCGCCATCAGCCAAAAACTCACCCCTCTCCTTAAAGGTATGTGATGTGCTGTACGAGCGAGATAGGTATACAGAAGGTGTCAGTTAAAAAAACACACGTTTTTTGTTTGTTTTTTTACTGTGTGCTCACTGATGTATGTCTTCGAGCACACAGTTACAGAGAAGATGCTACGTATAGCCTGGTCTGGCCCAGCTGAGTAATTTTGGGGGGCGCTGCACCCCTACTGTTGCTTTTGTCAAAATACTGACAGCAATCCCCCATGACTGCCGAGAGCCAGATGCACGGTCCGCGTCGCACTGAACGTAAAAACGTTTGGGAGGAAAATCCGTGGCTTCGCCAGCGGTGTGTTCGCGGGCCACGGCAGACCGAACTCCCCCTCGGGTGGGAATGGATGAGAAACGCCGTCTCCATTAGCCCCAGAGCTCGGAAAACAAAGCGTACAGTTGACTCCGCACGTTGAGGTCCCTGACAGGGGTGTTATTTACGGCCGTCCCCCCGGCCCACCGCCCAACGGGAGCATTTTTCAATGTGATTTACGAGGGACCGTGGACTCTGGACCGTGTATTTCTACACGTGTTTGCTTCCCCAGTCTCCAAAATAGCTGAGAGCTGGAGGGCCTGTCAGATAAGGCTGGGGCCCGAGTTCTGGGAGGTGACGTGGGTCTCCGTTCCCGCAGCAAATCTTTCTGTAAGAATGGAGCCCGAGATGTTATCTGCCCCCAGCGCCGCGGGGAACAGGATGCAACCTAGTGGAAGGGTAACACCGGCGACTGGGAACAGCAGAAGAAACGTCAGGGCCCGTCTAAAATAACGTGCCTTTTTTAACCCGCCTCCTTCCATTGCCCCAGGAAAGATCAATCATTTAGGATCTGAAGGCAACTACCAGTTACAGCAAGTGTTCCGCAGGAATCGCAGGGGCTGTGGGAAGGTTCTGAGACAGCCAGTGGATGGGTGAAGGTTGCCCTTCCCGGGGAAGCTGGGGGCGGGGGTGGTCGTGGGGGAGAAGGTCCAGGTGAGCAGGGTCGCCCCCCGGCGTCTGGCTGAGCTGCCCTGCGGTGGCCGTGCCCGGGAATTTCTGCAGGGCCTGTCAGGAGCCTCCGTGGGAGGGCTTTGTCCGCTCGTGGTCCTCACCGAGGGAGAGGCCGTTGCTGGCCCTCACAGCTTGCGTCGTGGTTTCCGTGGGACCTCTGTGCCGTCACGGCCGCGGTGTGGCCTGTCTTCTGGGGCGGCGCCGTGACATGTGCTTCGAATACAGGGGCACCCGAGGAGAAGGGAGGCGACACCCCGAAAACCGAGTCAAGGAAGATGACTGCGTGTGCGTTGAGTGGCAGCTTCTCCCAGGGCGGCCTTGCGGCGCGCAGGGCCGTGGCCGTGGCTGCGGGCGGGTGATCGATGCCGCAGCAAGTGCCGTCGGCTCGCACGCCGGGGAGGCCGCCCCTGCTCCCACTCTCTCCTTACGGGTTTGCTCCCTACTTCTCACGCTCACAAGTTCGCCTTTGTGTTTTGAGATGACTGGAGATTCACGTGCAGCTGTCAGAAATAATCCAGAGGGAGGGATCCTTGGTCCCCTGGACCCACTTCCCCCCAGTCGTCACACCCCACAGCCCACGGCTGGGAGCTTGCCGTCGACAGAGCGAAGCCGCAACCATTTCCGTCACCGCAGCATCCCTGGTGGCCACCCTCAAGTCCATCCCACCCTCCCCCTCTTGACCCCGGTAACCGCTCACCTGTTCTCGGGGCCCATGACCTGGCATTTCAAGAAAGTTGTACGTGGTCGCGGGCAGGCAAAGTCCAGCACGGGGCGTACAGTCAGCGAGGTCGTGACAACTGTGATTTCCAGGGCCCGGCGGGGACTGGAAACATGGGGGGACCACTTGGTAAAGTATGTGATTCCCTGACCACTTTGCCGCCCACGGAAACCGACATAAAATGATACTGAAAGTAAACAGTCCCGGAAAGATAGAACATTGTTCGGAAGGATGTTACAGAGATGGAACCAGTGTGTGGCTTTTGGGGTTGGCTTTGCCACTCGGCGTGATTCTCTGGGGAGTCACCTGAATTGTCCCAGGTATTGAGAGTCGCCCCCCTCCCCCCCGCCCCCTGTTTATTGCTGAGTGATGTTCTATGGTGTGGGTGCACCGCCCTGGCTGAAAAGGTCCCCTGCGAGGGGCACCTGGACCGGTTCTGGCTTTGGCCTGGACAGACGCGGCTGGGCCGCCGTGTGGACGGAAGCTGTCGTTTCTCTGGGTCGCGTGCCCGGGAGCGCGGTTTCCGGGCTGGGCGGGAGCCATGCGTGCAGAGAACTTTTGCAGAGAAACTGCCCAACCCTGCTCCAGACTGCTGTCCCTCTCCCCACCCTCCCCCGCGGGTGCCTAGCCTTTCCGCACCCCCGGCTTCATCTGCTGTTGTCACAGGTTTTTATTTCTGCCGCCTGACAGGCGTGCAGTCCTGCGTCGCTGTGGTCTCCATGTGCATTTCTCGGGCGGCTGATGCGTTGAACGTCTCTTCACGGATCCGTGCGTCTTCTCTGGCCCATTTTCTACCTGGGTTGTTTTCTAACTGAATTTTTTTAATGTTAAGTTTTCATCGTATTTTCCATATTCTAGGTATGAGTCCTTTGTCAGATACGGGGCTTGCAAGTATGTGTTCCTGGTAGCCGAGACATTCATAGAGCCAACGGTTCTAGTTTTGATGAGGTCCGGCCGATCAGCTTCCCCCTGGGGTCCACGCCTTCGGTGTGCAGCACGGAAACTCTTCCCTGTGTTGTAGGTCCTGAAGATTTTCTCCTATTTTTTTTCCCTAGAGCCTTGGCATTTTACATGTAAGCCTGTTGTACATTTTGAGTTAATTTTTGTGTAACTCAGACTTGGAGTTTAGGATGAGAGTTATCTTTTTGTTCGTGGAAGTCAGTTGCTCCAACCCTATTTGTTGAAAAGGTTGTGCTCTCCTCAATGGGTCGCTTTTGAGCCTTTGTTGAAGATCACTTGGGCGTATTTGCATGGGCTTACTTGCTTTTTTAAAATTCTGTTTTATTGGTGTGTCTTTTCCTCACCCATATGACACGGCCTGGATTACTGCAGCGATGTAATACTTTTTCAAATCAGGTAGACCGATTCCTCCCATTTTATTATCCTTTTCCGAAATGGAGCTATTCTGATTGCTTTATTTTCCCATCTAAATTTTAGAATCATCTTGTCTTTGCGCACAAAAACTCTTACCGAGGTTTTGGTAGGAAAAGGAGCCTGCATATTACTCTGGGGACATCTGACAGCTTTACAAGCTATAGCCCCACAATCCATGAGCACAGTATGTATCTCTATTTTTTATTTTGTATTTTTTTTTTTTTTTTTTTGCTTTTCTCTGAGTTCTTTCACCAGGGTTCTGTAGTTTGTTTTTTTTTTTTTAAGATTTTATTTTTTATTTTTAGAGAGGGAAGGGAGGGAGAGAGAGAGAGAGAAACATCAATGTGCGATTGCTGGGGGTCATGGCCTGCAACCCAGGCATGTACCCCGACTAGGAATTGAACCTGCGACACTTTGGTTTGCAGCCCGCGCTCAATCCACTGAGCTACACTAGCTGGGGCTTGTTTTGTAGTTTTTAAGCAAAGCGGTCCTGTGCGTGTTTTGTTAGACCTTTGCTTAAATATTTCATTTTTTGCTGAATAGTTATATGTTATCCAAATGACCTACTTCGTATCTGGAGGACGGTGGTAGTCTGTGCTTTTCAGGGAGTTGGCCCGTCTAATCTAAGTGACCAAGTTCACGGGAACCCGGCCACGCACGGCCCTCCCGCACTGGCCTCCAGGCGTCCGTGGAGTCTGCAGGCACGGCCTCAGATGGGGGTTGTGTCTGCTCTCCCTCTCCTCTCCCGATCTTTGTAAAGATCCTAAAGATCAGTTTTATGATCTCATTAAAGAACACGCTTTTAAAAAATGGACCTTATTATTTTTCTGTTCTCACTTCCTCAATGTCTTCCTTATTTCCTTCCTTCTGCTGGCCTTGGGTTCTGTTTTTCTTTCACCGGACTACTGAGGTCGGAGCTTGGGTGATTTATTCGAGGCTCTCTCCTTGCTCAGAGAAACACCTGGTACCATCGAGTTCCCCTTGCTCGCGGTTTTGCTTTTCACTTTCATTCATTCGACGTGTGTTTTGGCCACTCCGGCCGTTTCCTGCCTGACCTGTGGGTTACGGAGCAGCAAGCTGCTCGGTTTCCCCGTGTCCCGGGTTTCCTGTTGTCGCTCCGTTGTTGACTCCCGGCCCGCTCCCACCGCGGCCACACGTGCTGCGTGACTTCAGTCCTTCGGGGGTGCTGAGCTTGGCTCTGTCGTGAGGCCCGAGACGTGGCCCGTCCTGGGGCGGAGAAAGCCTGGCTCCCATGGGGAAGTCAGAGCCACGGAGTCGATTCCACCAGAGACGTGTCTCTCAGGAATTGTTAATGCTGTGAAGAGTGGCTGACTCGAAGACACTCTTTGGGTGGGGGGGGGCTCTGCCTGGTACCCTAGGGTGGAGGGGACAATAAGCAGCCCTCGAGAGTGTGGGGGGAAGCGTGCAGCTGCCACAGGGGACGTGGGGGTGCGCCAGGGGTCTGGATACCAGTGGGGCAGAGCTCACAGGTTGCACGGGCGGGGTACGCAGCAGTCCCCCGTGGACACCCGGCCGCAGGCGGGCACCTGCGGGCTGACCGTGCGCGGGGCTGCAGGCAGGTGGGCGGCAGGTCGAGGCCGACAGCGGGAGGAAGGGCCACAGGGCCGAGCTGCAGGGGACGGCCTCGCACCCCGACTTCTCGAGCCGTCCCCCAGCAGTCGAGCCATCCCCCGGCATCTCTGTTTCCCAAAGACGAACTGTAAAACCGGCCCGCAGTAGCTCGTGGTTCACACTGTTACATGGGAAGGAGGAAGGAGTGGAGGATGGTGACTCCAGGTAAGTCGACTCGTTCATGAAGCAGACGCCGAAACCAGACGCGGCTCCTCCCGCCCCCCGGTGCCCGCGGACGGTGGGGCTGAGGCTCGCACCGACTCGCCCTCGGGGCGGAACCTCG